TCAGAAATATAGGTAAAATACGTAAATGTATAACTGTAGAGGCCACTAAGTCACTTGTTAATTCTCTGGTCACTTCCCGATTAGATAACTTTAATTCACTTTTAGTTGGTTTACCTTTAAAGCTTATAGATAAATTACAAAAAAGTACAGAATGCTGCGGCTAGACTTGTTACTTTAACTAAGAAATGTGACCACATAACTCCTGTTTTATATAATCTACACTGGTTACCTGTTAAATATCGAATTGATTTTAAGATTTTACTACTTACTTTTAAATGTTTAAATAATTTAGCTCCGGTTTACCTCTCAGATCTTTTAGAACTGTATACACCTGGCCGAACATTACGTACATCAGATAAGCTACTTTTAAAGCCCAAAACTGTTCAACTAGTCTCTTACGGTCAGCGCTCTTTTAGTTATCAAGCACCTGTTTTATGGAATAATCTACCATTTAGTTTAAGATGTTGTACATCTCTATATTCTTTTCAAAACACAACTTAAAACACATTTATTTAATCAGGATACAATCGTTAACATGTCCATAATCTTGTTGTTTATGTATTATTTACATTGTCACTTTGTAAAGTGCTCCTGAACATGTTATATGAAAGGGCGCAATATAAATATGCTGTAATAATAATAATAATAATAAATAAAACATTAAACATTAAGATTTTTCGACTGTTTCGTTTAATTTAACCTTTTTAGATTATGAAAACGCAACGTTTAAAAAACTAAGATCCAATAGAATCAACATAAAGGCATGCATAAATATATTAATAACGTTCAAAGAATTATAAGTTAAAACGTTACATACTTTATTTTATAAGAAATAGTTTACTAATGTGCACAGGAGGTCTGATTAGGCTTAGAAAATAACTTTGTATCAGATGGTTCATTTGGTGTTCTTGACATAGCTTATTTGAACGTTAGTAAAGTAAACGTCAATAGATCAATACCAATTAATGTTTAGTAACTTCTCACAGTTTCAACGACGAAACGTCAAATAAAACGCGCTTGAAACATTAATCATAAGTCTAAATGCAGTTCTTGTCAGTAAAATATTTAAAAAAAACCCATCTAAATATAAAACGTTTTACGAACATTTTGGACGGTTATTTTTGTTCGTTTAATTTAAACGTTTATTATATTAGGAACATGGAATGTAATCCAATATAATCAATATAATGTCACGAACATAATATATACTTATAACGTTCAAAGAGCCATAAGTTAAAACGGTACAAATATACACTAGAAGAACATAGTTTACTAACGTTTGAAGGTTGTCTGACCAGGCTTGAGATATAACGTTGAATCAGACAGTTCATTTGACATTCTTGGAACAATTAATCTGAACGTTTCTAAAGTAAACGTCACTAGAAGGATATTTATTAATGTTTAGTAACGTCTCGCATTAATCTAAAGTCTTTATGCAACGATTGTCTAATGTAACATCAAAAAAGCATTGGAGGGTTATTTTTGTTCGTTTAATTTAAACTTTTTGGAAGAGGAACACGGAACGTTTCAAAGTAAGTATAAAATCTAATATCAATATTACGTCTAGGAAATTACGTTTTATCAGATGGCTCATCCGAAGTTCTTAGAACATTAAATCTTAACGTTTTAAAAGTAAACGTCACTAATGTTTAGTAACGTTCTACAGTATCAATGATGTAACGTCAAAGAGAAGAAAATAGTTTACTAACGTTTACAAGCTGACCATGCTTAGGAAATAACGTGTTAACAGATGGTTCGACGTTCTTGGAACAACTAATCTGAATGTTGCAAAAGTAAACGTTACTAGAACAATATTAATTACTGTTTAGTAACATTTCACAGTATCAACGATATAACGTCATAAAAAACGGAGTTGGAACATTAATCTAATGTTTTAATGCAACATTAGCTAATGATGTAAGATGTAAAGAATATGTAAAATAGAAATACAACGTTTTAGAAACTTTATTGGAAGGGTTTATTTTTCGTTTAATTTTAACGTTTTTAAATTAGGAAAACAGAATGTTTTAAAAACTGAAATCAATATAACGTCACAAACAAATATATACTGAGCGCCATGGAAAACGCATCACTTTTTTTCCCAAATATTTTATTACTAGGTGGTTTTGTATGTATAATATAATGTAATACTATTACTGTAATATTAATTACTGTTTAGTAACGTCTCACAGTCTCAACAATTTAACGTCTAATAAAACGCGTTTGAAACATTATTCTAAACTTTAAATGAAAATTGGGGGTGGGAGGGGGGTATTTTTATTTGTTTAGTTAAACGGTTTTAGATTAGAAAAACGGAACGTTTTAAAAAGTAAGATCCAATATAATTATTATAATTCGGAAATAATTCGGGATTATATGTAAAATGTAAAATAAAAATAGAACGTTTTACGAATTTTATTGGAGATTATTTTTGTTCTTTTAATTTAAACATTTTTAGATTAGGAAAACAGAACATTTTGAAAACTCGAATCCAATACAATCAATATAACGTTACAAACAAATATATAAATAACGTTCAAAGAATCATAAGTTAAAACGCTACAAAAGTTAGAAAAACATACATTAGTTTACTGACGTTAACAGGCTGTTTGGCCAGTTTTGTGAAATAACCTTGAATCAGATGGTTCATTTGACGTTCTTGGAACAATTAATCTGGATGTTTCTAAGGTAAATGTCAATAGAATTACAGGAAAACGATGTAACATGGAAATATAACGTTTTTACGAACTTTATTGAGGGTTATTGTTTTTGTTTAATTTCAACGTTTTTCGATTAGGAAACCGAACGCTTTAAAAACCAAAATCCAATATAACCAATAGTACGTACGTTACAAACAAATATATTAATAAAGTTAAAACAATCCTAAGTTAAAACGTTACTATAGTTACGTTAGAAGAACATAATTTACCGAAGTTTACATGTTGGTTGATCAGGCTTGTGAAATAACGTTGAATCAGGTGGTTTAGTTGACTTTCTTGGAACAACTAATCTGAACGTTTCTAATGTAAACGCCACTAGAACGATATTAATTAATGTTGTGTAACGTTTCACGGTATCAAGGATATAAAGTCATAATAAAACGAGGTTGAAACATTAATCTAATGTTTTAATGCAACATTTGCGAATTTTATTGTAAGGTTGTTTTTATTTTCGTTTAATTTCAATGTTTTTAGATTAGTAAAAGAGAACGTTTTAAAAACTAAAATCCAATAATCAATATAACGTCACAAACAAATCTATTAATAACGTTCAAAGAATCATAAGCTAAGCGCTACGAAAGTTATGTTAAACGATCATAGTTTACTTACATAATCCTTGTAAGACATATAGAGGTAGATTTCACAATCACATATAAGTGTTTTTAATTTGTTATTAATACTAGTTTACTGACGTTTACAGGTTGTCTGACCAGGCTTAGGAAATAACGTTGAATCAGATGGTTCATTTGACGTTCTCGGAACAACTAATCCCAACGTTTCTGAAGTAAAACTCGCTAGAACGATAATAATTACATGTAACTCTAACGTCTCACAGTATCAAGGATATAACGTAAAAAACCCGGTTTGAAATATTGATCAAATGTTTTAATGGAACGTTTGCTAATGATTTAAGATGTAAAGAATATGTAAAATAGAAATGCAACGTTTTACGAACTTTATTGGAAGGGTTTATTTTTCGTTTAATTTTAACGTTTTTAAATTAGGAAAACAGAACGTTTTAAAAACTGAAATCAATATAACGTCACAAACAAATATATTACTAACGTTCAAAGAATCATAAGGTAAAACGCTACAATAGTTACGTTAGAAGAAAATAATTTACTGACGTTTACAGGTTGTCTAACCAGGCTTGGGAAATAACGTTGATTCGGGTGGTTCAGTTGACATTCTTGGAACAACTAATCTGAACGTTTTTAAAGTAAACGTCACTAGAACGATATTAATTAATGTTTAGTAACGTTTCACAGTATCAACGATATAACGTCACAAAACACGGGTTTGAAACATTAATCTAATTTTTTAATGCAACGTTTGCTAATGATGTGAGATGTAATAAACATGTAAAATAGAAATACAACGTTTTACGAACTTTATTGGAAGGGTTTATTTTTTGTTTAATTTTAACGTTTTTAGATTAGGAAAACAGAACGTTTTAAAAACTGAAATTAATATAACGTCACAAACAAATATATTACTAACCTTCAAAGAATCATAAGTTAAAACGCCAATATAGGTATGTTAGAAGAACATAATTTACTGACGTTTACAGGTTGTCTGACCAGGCTTGGGAAATAACGGTGCTCCAGGTGGTTCAGTTGACGTTCGTGGAACAACTAATCTGAACGTTTCTAAAATAAACGTCACTATAACGATATTAATTAATGTTTAGTAACGTTTCACAGTATCAACGATATAACGTCATAAAAAACGGAGTTGGAACATTAATCTAATGTTTTAATGCAACTTTTGCTAATGATGTAAGATGTAAAGCATATGTTAAATAGAAATACAACGTTTTACGAACTTTATTGGAAGGGTTTATTTTTCGTTTAATTTTAACGCTTTTTGGATTAGAAAAACAGAACGTTTTAAAAACTGAAATCAATATTAACGTCACAAACATATATATTACTAACGTTCAAAGAATCATAAGTTAAAACGCAACAATAGTTACGTTAGAAGAACATAATTTACTGACGTTTACAGGTTGCCTGACCAGGCTTGGGAAATAGCGTTGATTCGGGTGGTTCAGTTGACGTTCTTGGAACAATTAATCTGAACGTTTCTTAAGTAAACGTCACTAGAACGATATTAATTAATGTTTAGTAACATTTCACAGTATCAACGATATAACGTCATAAAAAACGGAGTTGGAACATTAATCTAATGTTTTAATGCAACATTAGCTAATGATGTAAGATGTAAAGAATATGTAAAATAGAAATACAACGTTTTAGAAACTTTATTGGAAGGGTTTATTTTTCGTTTAATTTTAACGTTTTTAAATTAGGAAAACAGAATGTTTTAAAAACTGAAATCAATATAACGTCACAAACAAATATATACTGAGCGCCATGGAAAACGCATCACTTTTTTTCCCAAATATTTTATTACTAGGTGGTTTTGTATGTATAATATAATGTAATACTATGAACTATTGTTTCCCACAATGCTCCCAAACCCAAAAAAAAATCGGGCCGTGTGCACAAAAAAAAAATTGCACGAGATGCACATGAAAAACCCAATATTCACGTGCAGCATTGTGTGTGAGCCCTTTAAAAGCATGTTTTCAACTTAATGTGCAGTACATGAACTGTGAAACGTGAATCTGTCGTAATTTGTTGTTGGACGTGTGAAGGAATCGAGCTAGACATGCCGAGACGTACTGAAAATCAACGGAATGAAGCCATGGAAATGTCCAGGGCTGGCATTTCTACACGTGCTATTGCCAGACACTTCAATTGTCATCAGTCCACTATTGTAAGGTTGGTGGAACGTGTTCGAGTTACTGGATCAACACGTGACCGTCAACGTCCTGGTCCACAACGCGTTACAACCCGGGCTCAAGACCGCTACATCCGGGTCACACATCTGCGTGACAGATTCCGCCCAGCGACTCGAACAGGTGCAGCAGTCGTCGGAAGACAAGGACCAGTATGTGCCAACACCGTAAGACGTCGTCTAAGAGAAGTAGGACTCCGTGCACGACGACCTTACGTTGGAGCTATCCTCAGGGATCATCACCGTCAGTGGCGTTTGATATGGGCTCGAGGACACCAGACATGGAGAAGAGTAGACTGGCAAAGTGTACTCTTTAATGATGAGAGTGATGAGAGTCGCTTTCATCTTTATCACGCTGATGGCCGTCAACGTGTGTGGAGACGTCTTGGGGAACGTCTTGCAGAGTGCTGCGTCTTCGAAACGAACAGATGGGGTGGGGGAAGTGTAATGGTGTGGGGAGGCTTCACATTTCATCACCGGACCGCCCTACACATTTGCAGGAGTAGCGTTAATGCTGTAGCCTACCGTGATGATGTCTTGCAACCAATTGTTGTACCGATGTTTCTAGCGCACCCACAACTTCAGCACTTCCAACAGGATAATGCACGTCCGCATACCGCCCGTTTTAGTATGGACTACCTGACTTCTAACAACATTAATGTCTTGGACTGGCCAGCCATGTCTCCGAACATGGCACCGATAGAACATGTCTGAGATGGGATTTGACGCCGTCTGTATCGGAGACCACAGATGCACACCATTGCTGCTTTAGAAGCTGCTCTTGTCCAAGAATGGAACAATTTGCCCCAGGCCTTCTTTCAAACATTGGTAAATTCCATGCGACGTCGCTGCACAGCGTGCGTAAGAGCCCGTGGAGGACACACGCGCTACTGACGTCTGTGTCGTACTTTTGGTTTTGACCCCTCTAACTTTGTACTGTTGATTACAAATTAAACATCCATAAGTGTACAAATGTGTTGTTATTGATGTGTTCCCATTTGAATATTGTTCACAATAAGAAGCAAAATAAATAAGATATGTTTACAGGATCATTTTGTTATACGAAAAACTAAGTGATGCGTTTTCCATGGCGCTCAGTATATTACTAAAGTTCAAAGAATCATAAGGTAAAACGCTACAATAGTTACGTAAGAAGAACATAATTTACTGACGTTTACAGGTTGTCTGACGAGGGTTGGGAAATAACGGTGATTTAGGTGGTTCAGTTGACGTTCTTGGAACAACTAATGTGAACGTTTCTTAAGTAAACATCACTAGAACGATATTAATTAGTGTTTAGTAACGTCTCACAGTATCAGCGATATAACGTCATAAAAAACGGAGTTGAAACATTAATCTAATGTTTTAATGCAATGTTTGCCGATGAAACATTATAAAAACATTCAAAATAACGTTCGGTCATTGTTGAATGAAAGTAAAATTAAAACGTCAAAAGATAACATTCTGGCGATGTTTCTGGAACGTTTATAAAAAAGTACAGTCTATCTCTGAACCCTTTTCGAACGTTTGGAGAACGTGCTTAAAAAACATTCTGACCGCAACCATATTAGAACCATTTACGAATGTTACCAAAACGTTTTGTGTTTGCTGGGTGGTGATAGAAGTAATATCACCATCATGTCTGTTGTCTATTACAATTAAATCATTACCAGCACCGTGATACATTCTAAAACGACATTCATCTTTACAACTACAACTGTATTTTATTTACAGAATATCCGGTGTTTAAGTGAATCCATACCAATTAACTCACACATCTATTAAATAATTATATTTACAAAATATCAGGTGTTTGAGGGAATCTCACACACCTAATGAAGTATTTCCACATTGTTGTAAGAAATACTTTGAATACATTCCTGTTCTATTTCTTGTATAGTAAAAATAATATTTATACACACTGAACGAAGAAAGAAAGTATGGTTGGATTTGCCGAATGGTTAGCACGTGCGCGCTGTATCATGAGGCATGTCATTGGGTTAACTCTGACGTGGTTTCGAATCCCCGGTTGTACGTGACAAGGAGTAGGGAATCCTCCCACTGCTAAAGACAGCTACGCGCAAGCGAATATTTATTGAAATAAAATTTAACCATATGTTAGTCCCGAAATGACCTAGTCTGTGTCGAGTGGACGTTAAACCCCATTTCTCCCTCTTTCTCTCTGAACGAAGAATATTTCAGACAAAAAGGCAAATCATACTTTAACTAGTCCAGACGCAGTAAAAAGTTGGTTGACTAAATAGTGACGTAAACATGGACAAGGTGTGGTCCTTTCAATTACAATAAGAGATTCAATATGGCAGGTGATAAAGATGTGGTGTAAATAAAGAAATTATGTACCTGCGTGTTAAAAATAATCTCTGATGACCGAAAAATAAATTAGAAAATGTAATAAAGCATGTAAAACATTCAATGAAATATAATCAACTAATTATTCGATTTTCTATTCATTATGAGATAAACCTCATATAGAAAGGTGGGAAGGAACGACTTGTTTTAGTTCGGATGGGAAGAAAAACCAGGGTTCCGCGTAAACATTGGTGTGTACAATAGCTTTAGGTGTGGGTTTGAATTTCAATCCTTTCTATAGAAAATTGAAATGAAATGAAATGGGGTTTAACGTCCAACTGTTCTGCTCCTACTGTTCTAATGAAGACGGATACGCCATACAGTGTGCTTTGCGGGAAATGTTGCCGGGACAGCAGAGGTACGGTCTACTCTTATTTCGAATTTCAATTGTCGAGGGTTCTTTTACGTGCACGCCACCGTGGCTCCATATTTATAAACAAAATCATTTGAAATGCAATTTCTTGTATTTATAAAAAAAACATAATCATTTGAAACGCAATTTCATTTTAAAGTGAGAAGTTTGGCTTATTAAGCCCCCACCCCCCCTTAAACTACAAAATTATACATGTAATATAATAGAAGACTAAAATGAGTATTAAACAAAATCAAATCAAATATACTTGTAAAATAATTGCACGAGAAAAAGAATCGATCATAAACAAGGTACGTATTCTCAGTAAAAGTAATAGTAATAACGTTAACTGACTATAGAGTTGTAATAATCAAGTATTTACTAGATCTGTTAAAAAAATAAAGACTCAATTCCCCCATAGATGATATAACGTGGGTAAAAAGGCATCGTTTAACTCCTACGTGAAATGTTAATGGGAAATATTTACAATGGTTATTTAACCAATAAAAAAAAAGATTCATGGTAAATAATTGATGAAATGGAGTTTAACGTCCTACTTGTCTAACTTTAGACGCCTGGGGTGCCCCTAACGAGGCTTTTTAATTGATTTTCATCCTTTATTTCTTCCCCTTTCCTGAAAAAAACACAAAAACAAAAATAAATATTTAAAATCAATCATTTCCTGACAGACTATAACAAACAAAAACTACAAGCAACTAGTTAAGCTGGGAATAAGTGAGAAAAATGTTGTTACTATATATGTATTTTGCTTGAAAACTGATTCGAATTTGACCTTTCGGATATTCATTTCCTACACAGGAAGATATGATTTGATTTATCATCTCTTGGCAAGAAAGATCTAGCAAAACATATACGGGTTACATCGGTATGAGTTAATTAGCTCTCAATTTAATTATGAAACATTTTTTTTTAATTGGAGTATATATCACGATTTAAAAAATCTCCTATGTGCATAGGTACATAAAATAATACGAGGATGCGTAATGCGAGTAAAACACGGCAATTCAGCCTGGATCAGTTTGCATTACTACATCCGATGTAAACAAGCATGTGTTGGTGACGCCATAGAAGTATACTGGGCGTGACTTTAAAAGTCAGCCATTTAGAACAATAGTTAAAGAAAGTTTTCACATTACCGCTGTGAAATAGTTTGTGATTCCATATGTACATACATAGTGGCGTAATCACACAAAACTGTTTTCATTGATTTGGCGCGAAACAAATCACGATTTAGACATCGAATCCGAGCCCGACCATTTCAGTAGTACACACTAATTTTATCGATATCGAACCGAGAGGTTACAAACTCATTGAAAAGGGGCCATTTGTTCTTTTTATTGGACGTGTGTTTAACAACAGCTGATTATCCTTAATGAATATTCATACGAATATATTAGCCCTTAATGAATATTCATACAAATATATTAGCCCTTAATGAATATTCATACAAATATCTCAACCCTTAATGAATATTCATACAAATATCTCAACCCTAAATGAATATTCATACGAATATCTCAACCTTTAATGAATATTTATACGAATATATTAGCCCTTAATGAATATCCATACGAATATATTAACCCTTAATGAATAAGCATACGGATATCACTCGATAATGATCACGATTCCACTGTGGGCCCAGTTAACAAAACCATCATCTTACCTATGTAAACGAACGGATATTATTATTATTATTATTATCAACAGCAACTGTAAGGAGCACACACACGATAAAACAATTGTTGCAATTCGGAAACCGTGTCCACCTAGAATAAAATACAACAATATTATATATAATTATAGTATCCTATTATAGGTAAATATCATATCACAGCCACATTTGTGGCTGTGGGCGTGACGAGTTTTTCTCTTTTTGTGGGGGGGGGGGAGGATTTCAATTATTTATCTTCCGAATCGGGCTATTGGTTCCACCCCTGTGGATTTGGGACAAAAGACGATTTTCAATTGACCCCGACGTGATTTGAACACGCAACCTTCTGATCTGGAGTCAGACGCGCTACCGTTGCGCCACGGAGTCTACAAGAAGCATTATTATGTACCTGACTTTTCACTGTATAATAGATTTTTGACACAAATTACAGCAAAGGGAATAAAATACAACAATATTATATATAATTATAGTATCCTATTATAGGTAAATATCATATCACAGCCACATTTGTGGTATCAAATTAACAAGCATGTCGCCGTAAATGTTTTAGGTCCTCGAATTTGTGCACAGGGTGAACGTGAGGCCCTGGCGAATTTGGGACCCCGGCTAATTTGGCCCAGGACAAATTTTGACTCCTGCTAGTAATTTAATATCTTGGATGATGAAACAGCTAAGGAGAAGTCACTTTTATGGTCAATTTTGAGCCAAGTGGTTTGTGTCCCCAAAAATACATTTTGCAACCCCGCCCCGACACAATTGGAATATAATACACATATGTAGAGATGTGCAGCGGCATTAAAAATGAATGTTTTACCAAGCTCTAAGAAAATCATCATTTATATTAAAATGAACCCAATTAATCCCCCCCCCCCTCTCCGCCCTACCTTTCTACAAATCAAACCAGTTGTCCACGTCATCATATAGAGTTATTTAGAGATGGACAGTCCTAGAAATTTATCTTTCTATAGTATATAACATGACCATCATTAATTTTATGTCAACTTTATCAATTTTTTCTACAATTGTTGACATCCCCGGTATCTCGAAAACGTCCCCACAAACGCCTGATCACCGTCCAGATTCGAAATCTACTCAAAAAACTCGGTTTTATAAATTCAGCCACCGGACTAGTTGGGAAAATAAATATTAGTTTTAATCTGAGTGTGAGCTGCTGTCGCATAGAGAACGTGAACAGTAGAAATCATCCATGTCTCACTCAATATTAATTCGAAAAGTTGAACGGCCTATAAGAACAGTCTCCCGTGATGGTAAATGGATACATTGCAGTTAAGGCAACGTCAAACTAATATACTGTCGCGGCAGCGAGGTTAAATTGATATACTGTCACTGCAGCGAGGTTAAATTGATAGACTGTAATAACAGCTACGTTAAATTGATAGACTGTGTAATGGCAGCTACGTTAAATTGATAGACTGTGTAATGGCAGCTACGTTAAATTGATAGACTATGTAATGACAGCGAGGTTAAATTGATAGACTGTAATGGTAGCGAGGTTAAATTGATACACAGTAATGGCAGCGAGGTTAAATTGATAGTCTTTGTAATGGCAGCGACGTTAAATTGATAGACTGTAATGGCAGCGACGTTAGATTTACGTTAGATTTAATTGATAGACTGTCATGGCGATAACGTTAAGTAGATATATTTTCTAATAGATGTATATGCATGTCGGATATCAAATGTCGAGAAAATATATGTATTCGTAGAGGTAACGGCACATGATTGCTTATTTGCATATTTGTCATAAACAGCATGGCGATTTGTAAATCGGAGTCCAATTAGTTTATCGTCTGATAGTGGTCGACACCAATCTTCAGTGTCATTTTGATTGTTTTTAAGAACGCGACCAATTGTGATTATTTTTCTATTACGTCACCTTTTTTACAAGCTGTACTGGTAGAAGATGGACGTGCATGCGGTGATTTATCATCATTTGTAGCCACTGAAACAAAAATAAAATCAAAGTTCTAGGATACAATGAACATTGTTATATGTTATATCACTACACGGCTGGTGCATGGTAGAGAAGTATGGGTTCAAGAGTATTTCTCCAAACATAACTGATTAGATATTACCATGACGATTTTACATATTACATTAATATGTGTTTTGAGAACAATTGTCGTCTATTTTACTGATTCATTTCCGTAATATTTACAAAGACATGTTGAATTGAAAACTACATCAATCTACGATGCTCCCTACATAATCAGACCGCTGTCATCTTTATGTGCCGTGATCCACATTGGTGAACATGTTTTTAACCCAACTGAATTCCAACTGGGAAATTATGTAACGTTGCTATTTAATTACATGGTCAATAATCAATCTGAGTATACATTAACATTGATGAAGTCTCGTGAGTACAGCTGTGTACCTATGAGGGATTTCCAACCTCGTGGGTTTTCTCCAGGTCCTCCGGTTTCCCCGCACTGCTAAAGACTCCTACACGCAAGCGAATTATTGAAATAAAGTCAAACCATATGTTAGTTCCGAAATGAACTGGTTTGTGTTGAGTGGACGTTAAACCCCATTTTTTTTCTCCCCCCTCTCTCTCTGTCTGAGGGATTAGTAGCTTAGCCCTTGCCAGACTTTAAGCAAGGCATCGAATAGACTGATTCCCTGCTGAGTGACCTACCGTTATATACATTGAATCACCATGGCCCCTACGGCAGCTAAACCAATTGATTTAAACTAAATTAAAATGTTGAATTTGGCTGACCCCATTAATTGTTACCATTAATTGTTCATGTTAAAAAATTATAAGGGAATCGACTTGTTTATTATTTCTTTCGCTGTATATTTATATATAAACAATAATAAGATTATACCCAAGTTAATGTGGTCTAATAATGTTTATCAAAGAATTATACCTTATAATAATAACTACTTGTAATACTTGACGATAATACAGCGCATTAGTAATCCAATTCTAAAGATACGTTAAATTGATAGACTGTGTAATGGCAGCGACGTTAGATTTACGTTAGATTTAATTGATAGACTGTCATGGCGATAACGTTAAGTAGATATATTTTCTAATAGATGTATATGCATGTCGGATATCAAATGTCGAGAAAATATATGTATTCGTAGAGGTAACGGCACATAATTGCTTATTTGCATATTTGTCATAAACAGTTTATCGTCTGATAGTGGTCGACACCAATCTTCAGTGTCATTTTGATTGTTTTTAAGAACGCGACCAATTGTGATTATTTTTCTATTACGTCACCTTTTTTACAAGCTGTACTGGTAGAAGATGGACGTGCATGCGGTGATTTATCATCATTTGTAGCCACTGAAACAAAAATAAAATCAAAGTTCTAAGATACAATGAACATTGTTATATGTTATATCACTACACGGCTGGTGCATGGTAGAGAAGTATGGGTTCAAGAGTATTTCTCCAAACATAACTGATTAGATATTACCATGACGATTTTACATATTACATTAATATGTGTTTTGAGAACAATTGTCGTCTATTTTACTGATTCATTTCCGTAATATTTACAAAGACATGTTGAATTGAAAACTACATCAATCTACGATGCTCCCTACATAATCAGACCGCTGTCATCTTTATGTGCCGTGATCCACATTGGTGAACATGTTTTTAACCCAACTGAATTCCAACTGGGAAATTATGTAACGTTGCTATTTAATTACATGGTCAATAATCAATCTGAGTATACATTAACATTGATGAAGTCTCGTGAGTACAGCTGTGTACCTATGAGGGATTTCCAACCTCGTGGGTTTTCTCCAGGTCCTCCGGTTTCCCCCCACTGCTAAAGACTCCTACACGCAAGCGAATTATTGAAATAAAGTCAAACCATATGTTAGTTCCGAAATGAACTGGTTTGTGTTGAGTGGACGTTAAACCCCATTTTTTTTCTCCCCCCTCTCTCTCTGTCTGAGGGATTAGTAGCTTAGCCCTTGCCAGACTTTAAGCAAGGCATCGAATAGACTGATTCCCTGCTGAGTGACCTACCGTTATATACATTGAATCACCATGGCCCCTACGGCAGCTAAACCAATTGATTTAAACTAAATTAAAATGTTGAATTTGGCTGACCCCATTAATTGTTACCATTAATTGTTCATGTTAAAAAATTATAAGGGAATCGACTTGTTTATTATTTCTTTCGCTGTATATTTATATATAAACAATAATAAGATTATACCCAAGTTAATGTGGTCTAATAATGTTTATCAAAGAATTATACCTTATAATAATAACTACTTGTAATACTTGACGATAATACAGCGCATTAGTAATCCAATTCTAAAGATGAGTAAATATCAATTTTAGTGATCAGTGAACATCTATTTTTAAAGATTTGATATTAAATATGAGTAATTATCTAATTTTAAAGATTAGATTTTGAAGATTAATAAATATGTAATTTTGAAGATTAGTAAATATGTAATTTTGAAGATTAGTAAATATCTAATTTTAACGATGAGATATATTTTTTTAAAGATTAGTAAATATTTATTTTTAAAGACTGAGAGAGAGAGAGATGGGGTTTAGCGTCCACTTGACACAAACTAGGTCATTTCGGGACTAACATATGGTTTAATTTTATTTCAATAATTCGCTTGCGCGTAGGGGTCTTTAGCAGTGGGGGGAAACCGGAGGACCTGGAGAAAACCCACGGGGTTGGACAGGCGACCCTACTCCTTGTCACGTACAACCGGGGATTCGAAACCACGCCAGTTGACTCAATGACAGGACGTATGCTAACCATTCGGCTACCCAACCCCCCTTTTAAAGACTAGTAAATAGCTATTCCTAAAGATTAGTAAATAGCTATTTCTACAGATGAGTAAATAGCTCTTCCTAACCATCAGTAAATAGCTATTTCTTAAGATTAGTAAATAGCTATTTCTAAAGATTAGTAAATAGCTCTTCCTAACGAATAATAAATAGCTATATTTTTTAGATTAGTAAATAGCTATTTCTAAAGATTAGTAAATAGGTATTTTTAAAGATTAGTAAATAGCTATTTTTTAAAGATTAGTGAATACCTAAAGATTGTCGAGTTATTGAATATGACATACAGTCTACCCAACCGTAAATGGGTACTTGTAGGATGGTGTGTGGGCACCTGTAGCATGATGTAGGCAATTACATCAGAAAAAACTGCTGTATAGCATAGGTTGTATAGCATAGGTTGGTTATTTTTCTAATATTTAAAGACTTCAAGGGTAAAGGGGGGTAATCAGGTTGTATATGTATCCTACATACTCGGTAGATATTGTACCGCTTGTGGATTAATGTACACTTTATATTATTATTATAATTAAAGTCACGAAGGGAACATTTTTTGAAAAAAACAAAACATGCAATTAATCCACAGAATCAAATCCCGCGACAAGCCGACAATAATAAAACCATAATAGAGTTGTTGTCATCTGAAATTAAATGGGATGGGCTAATGCAGATTACATGTAATCTTAGTGTGGGCAGCTATATCACGGTGAACGGGAACGTTGGTAATCATCCAATCATGTCACCCTCAAAGGGGACAAAGAAACATTATTTTTAACCAATTTTCAATTCAAAAATTAAAAGGGAATAAGGAACAGGCAAATTCTATATGACCGCTCTCCTGTAAATTGATCGACTGTAATGGCAGCTACGTTACCCTGATAGACGGTACCATGGGGCGACGTTACGTTGATAGACGGTACCATGGGGCGACGTTACGTTGATAGACTGTAATGGTGGCTACGTTAAAATGATAGACTGTAATGGCGGCTACGTTAAATTGACAGACTGTGCGGATGTATTTTACTATGCTTCTTCCTCGCATTTTAAAGTTGATGGGATATTTTAATAATTGGTTGATGTAGTGTACTGCAAGAGGTAAATGAAGCGGGGTTACACGATATGGCCTTAGGTATCACAATCAGGTGTAGTAAAGTATCTAGAAGTTAGAATCAGTTGTTTATTTTGTTTATAAACAATATTTTTATTCAGGATATCTGAATTGGGGAACAGGCTTAGCCTATGTAATATTCACGAAACAATTATACTGAACCTGTTGAAGTTGTTTCAGCTGGAATACAAGATCGACATGATATATTAAACTGGGAACCAGGAGCTGAAAACATATTCAGATACTTAAAGATACATTATGTAAGATTTAGATAAAAAAAACTAGCCATTCTTGCTATAATAGTTCGAAAGTAGATGATGTAAAATGAATAATTTGAAAATTTCATTCAAATTACTCTATTGCAAGCGAAGATATTAGCCTTTGAATGTTTGACAGACGTGTGCAATAATTTCAACCACCGTACTGGTTGATCGAAGCTATATCTCGGTCCTCCATATTTGATTAAATCAAAGTATCGCTGAACCATTCTAATCTATTTAATATCGGAGAAATCTGATGCCATCGAGAGTTGATTAAGGCCTGGATCAGTTAATTAGAAAACATTTCAGGCCTAAAGAAAGACCTGCAATAGGAAGATTTAGCTCTTGCATAATGCATGTTTAATCTTACATGTTAAATAAAACTAAAAATGGGGTAAATATTATAGGCCCGTGTATGACCCCGGTGGTTTCACGTTGAAAAAAAGACATTTTAACAATGTAGGAACCAATAATTTACAGATGTTAAAAACTAAAAAAAATATTATGGGTAGCGCCAATAAGATTAAAATAAGAAAGGGGTTAAAAATCACAGAAAAAAACTTTTTTTTATCACACTCAAATATACCAGTATTGACTCAAATTACTGAATTCAAATATATATTACAGCTGACGTTTAAGACTCCTAGGCGTGGCCATTGAGAGAAATGTCATAAAGAATGTAACAATCATACCGTATTTCAGTTTTATCCAAATAATGTCACGTGGTTGAACTGAGAGATTATCGATATCAATTCGTTTATCTTCCAAGCCCAATTTCTTTTTCAACACAATGGCTCGATCTCCACTACAATTGAATAGAGTTCCATTCCCAATCTTAATACTTGTACAGGATTCCACATGAAGGTTGACGTAATAGGTAATGATAGTTATTGGTTCAGAACTGGTGAATTGACAACATCTTGGTGACTGTTTCCGTGAGTCAGGTGTACCATTAAGATAGATGAACATATCTTTGTTAATACCCATGTCAATATCATTCTTAATATGAATGGATTGTTTCTGTGGATCTGTGCAAATATAGAACACAAAACACCAACTAAAATGTACATTTAATAATAATAATAATAATGATATTTGTATCGCGCAACAATTAAATCCTCTAAGAATGCACTAGGTGTTAGAAAATGTTCTCACTTTGGAGTGTTAATGATAGCGATAGCTGTAAATCTAATTAATCCTTTGAGCGAAAATCAAATGAATTCAAGTCTTCAACTTAAACAAGATCACAGATAGTTTGGTTCAAAATTTAACACCAAATTATGAGGGATAATTTTATCACTTTACTGATCTGGAAAGTTAATGGAACACACAGATCCAACATTTAAGAATCTAAATCCAGGAACTTACGACACAAATTAACAAAATGTGAGTGCACTTTCACATGCGCAGCCACAAGGACACCATCTTGAACATAGAATATGTAACCAGGATGGTGTACAGAAATTAACCACTACTGTTTTTACAAAATGTACGCGCATAACATAGATGGTGTATGGAAATCAAAATAAATAAAAGTTGTTATCAGAATATTATTTGTAGTCATTTCTTTCCAATATGCGTATAACTATTGAGCTTTAGTTCTTAGCAACTTACTACAATAACCTATTAAATGCATATCTGAACTATTATAACACGAAATTCCTCCGTTCGCACTAGTGCCTAGCATAAAAATGTCTTTTAAAGTAATAAAAAGAAAAATGCAAATAGGTTAACGTAGGTTTTCTTAACTTTCGCTTAGTAGTCGTGTCAGAACTCTCGGATCCCGTGACGATGGTTGCTAATAGAAGGCATCCTAGTAAACATATTTGTAGTTTGTTACCTCTGAAAACTACGGGCTAAATCCAAGAGAGCTGAAAATCCAAATGATCTGGAATTGACCTTGACAAACATTGTTGACGAAATGACCTGTGTAATATATAATTTTCTATGGTTAATCCAAAATGGCCGCCACAATCCAAAATGGCGACATAAATTGGCTCGAAAAGTATTCGTTCAGTACCATTAGCAACATACACGTGTGCGATGCCGTTTCAGGGGTTGTAGTGTACGGGAAGCATGGGTATGCCATTTACAAGTTGAAGGAACTAATTTGAAAAGAGATGGCATACTAAAATTAAGCATTTTTACAACAGACAAGGCATCCATGAATCTTATCCTTCATATATTACAAAATGAAATGAAATGAAATGAGGTTTAACGTCCTACTGTTCCGCTCCTATACTGGGCTAATGAAGACGGGCATACGCCATACAGTGTGCTATGAGGGAAATTTTGCCCGGGCAGCGGCACTATCGCCTACTCTTATATCGAATTTCAGGGGATCTTTTACGTGCATTCCAATATATACACGGGACCTTCATATATTACAACTACCATAATACATTATAATGCACTATATAATAATGTATTTCGCAGTATGACTCGTTCATCTCAGAAAACATGTGTTCAGAATCTGAGTATTTTAAAAAATCTATCGGAATTGCGCACTCAGATTGAGAATTGATGTTATTTTGGGAGTATTGATTGAGAGGTTGTTTAAACACTTAGACATAGAGCATCAGGTATGTATCATGAAGACAAACACCTCCTATTTACTAATCATTCCAAAGAGCCAATGGTGGATTATGAAGTGAGGTTTTTTTTCGGGACGAGATACTCGAAAATGCCTTTTCCAAGCTGATAGAACCACTTTGAAAGGGGATAGCATACTAAAATTAAGCATTTTCGCAACTATAAACCTACACGTGTAATAATAACAACCATAAATTGTCCACACATCCATGAATCTTATCCTACATATATTTCAGAGAGAGAGAGAGAGAATTAAGGTTTAACGTCCACTCGACACAAATTAGGTCATTTCGGGACGAACATATTCAATAATTCGCTTGTGCGTAGGGTCTTTAGCAGTGGGAGGAAACCGGAGGACACGGAGAAAACCCACGAGGTTCGACAGGCGACCCTACTCCTTGTCACGTACAACCGGGGAATCGAAACAACCCCAGTTGACTCAATGACAGACTTTATGATACAGCGCGCACACGCTAACCATTTAGCCCCCCCCCCCCTCACATATCTCAGTTATCATAATACATTATAATGCAATATATAATAATGTATTCCGCAGTATGACTCAAAATTCGCAGAAAACATGTGTTTAAGATTTTGACGGTCATATTGGATCAACCATTTTTGAAATAAATCGGAAACTGTCCAAAAGGAGTGACTAACAAACCCTATGGAATTGATTAATTTCGCCAAAAATGCTTGTCCAAGTCAATTTCAGATCATTTTTGGATACCCTGGAGTTTTCCCGTAGATTTCGGAGGTAGCAAACTGCAGATACATTGAATAGGAGTCATCCTATCCGCAACCAGCGTCAAACTTTGTTCCCCGAGAAATGGCCAGGAATCTGGGGGTTGTGACCTGACTATTTGGTCAGTCTCTTCAGAAGGTCTACTGGTACTTACCGTCGATACAGAAGGTCTACTGGTACTTACCGTCTATACAGAAGTAAACATACTGTATATAACCAGAATTACTCGGTATATATGGATACGAAGCGGTAACGGTACACGATTGTTGATTTGCACATTGGCCATAAACTGGAAGGCGATCGTCATCTCGGGGTACAATTGGTTCACCGTTTGGTGATAGTCGACAGCACTCATCATTACTACATTCTGTTTCACTTTTACATTGTTTGTCGGAAGGTCCAATTGTAATTTTATTTTTATCGCTTATCCCTTCCATAGCAATCGCTTGACCATCTTTACAAGTTAACGTAGTATTCGTACACGGTGAACCAATGCGACCATAGCAAGCATACGCTGATTTACCATCAACCATGGCCACTGAAAGAGAAATAAAATCAACGTTCTAATCACAAATATGGAACCAAATATTTAAATAGATATCCTATAAATAATTAAACTACAGACATTATACAAATTAAAATGATTCAATTGTGCGATTCTTTAAAAGGGTATTATATAAGATTTAGATAACGGTTTTGCTAAAATTAACCCGGTTGGTGCTGACATGCCATAAAATCACATTTTATTTCATTTTCTTGCTATCCTTGTTCAACAAAAGATAATTCCAAAATGAATGTATGGTGTTTTGACAAGAAATAGCATAGATAGTCGAGAGTGTCAAGTACAAAGTCTCGATTATCCATTTAGTTTACACAGAAACGGTGTGACAAAGTACTCTATACCATTCATCAAATTGAACGACCATTTAGGTGCATAGAACTTATTGACCTCCAGCAGTTTTCTGATAATATATATGATATTGACTTTTCAACTCTGTATATACTTCGGTTAAGTCACGGCTGTCTCTGTTCTAATTAAACCTGTAATTAATCTAATATGTCCTTTACGGGCTACACATGATCTGTGTACAACACTCGGCATAACTTCAAAGGAAATGCAGTGGTCATTGCATCATACCATGACCTGGTAATGACTTCAAAGGAAATACAAAGTGCAATCACAGATACCATAATCTGATAAATAAATAATACCATATATGATGATGACTCTTATACATTTTCCTGACAGTATACGTCCCTGAACCTAGGTCGGACATGTGACGGGCCCTACCACACCTGAGATCGTAGCATTATGGCAAAGCGCTCCAGACTGCGCAGACTATAGCTATTCTTTCTTTTCTTACACCTGGAGCTTCCCTGCAAAGACATTGTGTCTTATCCAAATAAGCTAGATCAAACCTATTTTGTGGCTTCCTCTGGCAAGTTTCTTAGGAAACACTTGTCTAAAATTCCAGGACGACAGTTAGACAGACGCACAGGGTGGAGACGAGAGAAGTAGAGAGGCTTGGACGAGTGCATGGACTCACCGGAGTTCAGCCGCTACCTTGGCAGAAGAGAGGAATGGTGGATTTACTATAGTTAATGTACCGTCCTGATGTGTTTCTGTATAGTTTAAGTTCCACTATTGTTGATATTCGTATTGTATTTATGTATTTATTTGATTTTCGGTTCCCGTTGTAAATAAATGCTATATTTATTAAACTGATCTACTGTTATCCAATTAATCCAATTAATAATTGACAGAGAAGTTGATGAAAGGTGCTATTTATATTTAATATTTTCCTTGCCCAATTTGCAATGAAGAGCATGACACCTTTTTACATTATATATCTATGTTTAAAAAATAATTGCAGTAATAAAACATATATTTGGCAATGTACTAAAATTATATCCTCCAGTTAGCTGGTTTGGGTTTATTTTGAAACATGGTTTATGTAAATACACTGCATTTATAGTCGATGGAGGTAAATATTAACTTTATATCTTTAAGACATTTAATGATTTTAAAGTAGCAATTATTACATCTACTACAAACAGATTTGAACTGATTCTTTTTACACAATGTTTAAAACTTCTGTAAGCAGTCATCAAATAAAAGTAAATAAACGTTGCCAGTGGACAGTATGTGATTTAACACAGCCATTCTCATAGAGCATAGATTCCACTTTTAGAGGCAAAGTGTTTGGGTTTATTGTAAAATTTATTGTTTAAAGCTATATTTTCGTTATGAATCGACCTGCTTTTGAAACTGTTTGAGGTAGGCTGGCTCAAAGGATACTGCACGATGTTCGTGCACTGTAAAAAAGAAATTTTTTGAAATAACACAAACTTATGTTATTTTCAACACAAGTTAGGTGTGAAACTTGGGTAGAAATTTAAGAAACTTGTGTTGTTATATACAAACTTGTGTATAGCCACCAACAAACACATGTATTGTATTTTACAATTTATATCCTGTAGAGCAACCTTCCACATGCACCACACCTCCTTTTGGTCTGTTTAAACTGTAATGTTTGATAAATGACATAATAATAAATTAATAATAAATTGATAGTAAAAAATTAAATTAATACTGCCAAATCAATACTAAATATACATTTGCAATGCTATTAAACTAAGTTAATTCCAATACTAATAAAATTGTGTTACATAATGACAGATTCCTCCACCCCAATCACAAAATAAAACAAAATTCAATAGCAAATATCTCAGTTCATAGCTAAGCAATTTGACTGAAATTTTCAGTATATTCTGTTTTCATTATCTACATTTACTTTTGAACTATTATAGCAACAACTGTCACCTCGTTAGCTAATCTTTCACAATGCCCCTTTAAGTAAATTTATGGATCATTCTTTGCTCATTTCTTTTTCCGCAATTGATGCTATTTAAGATTGCCAATTTTCTCACAGTTCGACCTCCAGTTTGTGATACCATGGGGAATCCAGTATTTTTCTAGCAAGATGAAAGTCTCTTCACTCTTTATATGCCAAATATCATTTCAAATAAGAAGTACTTTTATTTTATATGGGGGTGGGGGGTAATGGTCTACTGGAATACCGTATACGTGAAGGTCAAGGTCAAGGCATATAAATAAAAAAGGCTGAAAGAAATGTTTGAGGAAAATATATATTTATGCGTTTGTTATTTATTATCTAGTCCATGCCTGGGTTTATTTCTATGTTTGGCAGAATGTAAGAACAAAATAATTATGAAACAAACAAAGATGTTCAATCCTTAAGCAAATACATTCAAGACAGATTCTTACCTGCTGGATCGATCCTAAGTATTCGGACAATGGCGCGGCGCCGAACATCTGATGGTAATTATGCACGATTTCAGAAACATGAAGTTATCGTTGTTTCTTTTAAACGAAACAACTCATTAATATACATAGAAACAAAATCGACGCTATTGGTATTAAATTTGTAAATATTTACAAACCCGTGTTCTTGTATTCTCTGTGACCATTATATTTTTAAAAAATATTACTACTCAAAAACCATATTACTCAGCACGCTGTTGATGCCAACTTAAATGGGCTAAATATAGCCTACTCCGTTCAGATATCTAACTGAACGTCGCCAATATAATATCCTAGAATTTGCAGTTAACCAATAATGTCCAGTTTCGATTTGATCAACCAATACATCAAAAGAGAATTTAACTAAGATTTTTAACTTTAACTTTTGAAAACACCAGTGTTCTACAATTCACAAATTATATATTCCTTTTGATCTACAAATTTATTGGGTCAATAACAATAGGCATCTTGAAAACATTTTTAACTACAGACAACTTAATACATTCAAGTATGTCTGGCTATTGTTTGAGTAAAGGAACTAAAGTAATTTTTAAAAAAATGAAGTATTACGTACGTAGTCATAATTCGAACTCTTAAACTTGTGGACTCCCGAATTCAGACTTTTTATGGAGACATTCATGTATGTCTGACTATTGTCTGAGTTAAGTAACTAAAATATTAGGTTTTTTTTTAAAAAAAAAAAAAGTATTACGTACTTAGTCATAATTCGACCTCTTTAACTTGTGGACTCCCGAATTCAGACTTTTTATGGAGTTCATTCATTATTTGTTGACGGTACATATTATTTGTGTTAATTATGTGGAAAAAAACAATATTTTATAAACCTACCCAAGTTTGTTGTTGACGGTACATATTATTTGGGTTAATTATGTGGAAAAAAAACAATATTTTATAAACCTACCCAAGTTTGTGTTAATGCATGAAAAAGAACACAAGTTTGTGTTAATACAGTGCAAACCAACACAAACTTGTGTAGAATAATTTTCACACAAGTCTCTGTGTTGAGATCCAACACAAGAGCTATTTTCTGTGTGGTTTATTCCAGGTGTTGGCCGCGAGCCTGACACAAGAAGGTGCTTAGTCAATCCCGTCTTCATAAGCCCCATCGTAGCAACAACTTAGGGCGTTAAACCCCATTCCATTGCATTTCGGGTATAATAATAATAATGGATTTATATAGCGCCTTTATATATCCAAACATTTGCTCACTGGCGCTGAGTTGGTCTGTAACATTTACGCCAGATTTCCATCATCTGCATTGATTAGCAAGGATTTGAATGTGTACATTGACGTGCACGTAATAGATCCCTTGACAGTTGGAATTCGAGGAGGGGTAGCCACCATTTGTGTAGACAAAAAGCACGTCAATTGCCACTGTATGTTATTCTAAACAAGGAAAATGTGTCCAATAAAATGAGGAAACTTTCACCGTGACACAACATAACACCAAATACTCTTAAAGGACAATATTGGTGTCAATCATTATAAAATATGTGATAGAACTGGTTAAATACATCCCAAATATAATTTTAACACAGAGATCATTGTATAAGGGATATATGTAACAAGCACGTGAAGAAACGGGAAGTGACGACAAACATGACAAACACGAGTTATCCTTCTATATAACTGACTGAAGTAACGAGCGATAACTGACACACGAACGAATTTCATTTCACTGATAATTCCGTTGAAGATCGTTAGACTAAGTAAGGCACAGACTGACCATTATAAGGGTAAAATGATACCCGGGGTCAAACAGCAAAGTTACCACAGCATCACAACCAAGTCAGTAACGGGTAAATCCTCCTCTGTTTGCCAAACAAGCATTGATCCGACGTGGCATACTCCTAATGAGACGTCTAAGGTCATTTTGGTCCAGATTGTCCCATTCCTGTTGCAACGCAGCAGCAAGTTCTTGGACATTGGCAGGACGTTGTTGACGTTGACGTAACCTCAGTCCAAGCATGTCCCAGACATGCTCGATGGGGGAGAGTTCGGGACTCAGTGCTGGCCAAGGTAATGTGGTGATGTTCTGTTGTTGGAGGTAACCTGTAACGATCCTGGCCCTGTGACATCTTGCGTTGTCATCCTGGAAGATGAAACGGCGGCCATGACGTCGTGCGAACGGCACAACATGGACTGCCAAGATGTTGTCCCGGTAGTACTGGCCTGTAACACGCCCTGCAACA